TCTCACTATCTTATAATAGCACTATTCTAACCCCCAGACGGACCCTCCCCACTCCCTCCAATCCCCGATTACCTTCCGCCTCCCCCTTTTTTTAAGCCCATTACCCTAATCCTCCCTAAGCCTTCCACCCTTCAACCGCTCACCCCCCATCCCCTCCCCCCATTTTACGTCTCCTTCCGTCCTCTCCCTTTACGCTTGGTCGTGTGACCCCTCAACGCCTCGAACGCCTTCACCTACATACCACTACCCATTTTCTTCCCTTAATTCCAGTCGTGGCCACCGCATCATTGGTATCCGCGCATGTAGACCGGTTATCGTAACGTCCATTGGTCCGACCTTCTCTCTCATCCTCGCTTCCATCTCACAGTAGCCCCATTGTCACCTTCCGCGGCTTAGAGATTATTAGTCCAGGTCTCGGTTAGATGGCCGACCGTGTGCGGTCGCCATTCCCCTTGAGACCCTTCCTTCCTCTTATCTGCCTCCACTCCCCTCCACCCCTATTCCATTACGGCCCGTGGACCAGACGTGGAAGGGGCTGGCGTAACCTGGCGCTCCATTACTACCGCATTCCCCTTTATCCACACACCCCTTTCGTGCGTATGCCACCTGGTAGCCTGCAGTAGGCTTCTCAAGACCGCCTTCTCATTCTCTCTCTCTCTCTCTCTCGTCTCGTCTCGTCATCTGCCTCTGTCTCTCTCCCGTTTCTCTTCTCTGTCTTTCTCTTTCTCCTTTCTCTTTCTCTTGTTCTCTTTCTCTTCTCTTAGGTCGTCATAAGTTTTTTTCTTCCTCTGCTGCATCTCTAATCGCTGCTGCTCTTAAGTTCAGTCTCTAAGGACGTTCGTCTTCTAGTTCATGCTCGCGAGATTTGCAGAGTGCTCTTCAGATAAGGTCTGATCACTCAGTGACAGAGATTGATGCAATCTTCCTCTCTCGATGTACTGTCTCTTAATGGTGTTCTTACATCTCTCGCTCTCTCTCGCTCGTCTCCGGTCTCTCCTCTCTCTTCTTCTCATGTCTTTCCTCTCTCTGTCTTTCTCTTTCTCTTTCTCTGTTTCTCCTTCTCTCTCTACTCTCGTGTGTCCTATCCTCATGGCTCTCTTTCGCTCTCTTCGATTATCGCGTCGATGCCGCGAGCGCACGATCGTCTACTGCTCTCTCTCTCTCGTTTGTCTCCTCTCTCTCTCTCTCTGTCTTTCTCTTTCCTTTTCTCTGTCGTCTGTCCTGTCTGGTCTGTCTGTCTGTCTGTCTGTTGTCTGTCCTTCTGTCTGTCTGTCTGTCTCTCTCTCTCCTCTCTCTCCTCTCCTCTCTCTCTCTCTCTTCTTCCCTCCCTCTCCCCCTCCCCCTCTTCCTTCCCCTCCCCCTCTCCCTCGCCCTCCTCTTTCCTCTCTCCTCTCTCCCTCCTCCCGACCGTGCACAACTTGGCGCCCCTTTCATAATGCAAGAATGTGCAAATGGGTGGACGTGAACAGATAAGAAGTAGTGGAACCCACAGGGAGAGCACAGTGAATAATATAGGCACATTCAGAAATCACAGAAAAAGTGTGACCAAGTGAGAGTCGATTGAGTGCAGTGCTTTTGTGTTCGCGTGTGTTACCACATGCACGTATGTGGTGTAAATGTTTATATACGGTATATGTATGTGTTATGATATGTTAGTGCATACGCATAAATATGCCCTATTCAATACACATATTACTTAGTATACAGTACATATGTGTATATACAGTGTGTGTATATGATATATATATATATCTATATATATATTATATAATTATATATTATATAATATATAGTCACAATATACACCACGTACACACACATATACATACATACACACATACATACACACACACACACACACACACACACACACACACACACACACCACACACAATAAATATGTGGTATGTAATGTATGTATTATGTATGTTGTATGTATGTATGTATGTATGTATGTATGTATGTATATGTAATGTATGTAATGTATGTAATTGCATGAATTTATGCATGTATTCATGTATTTATCTGTATGTGTATGAATATATATACATACACATATACACACACATATAACATGTTTAGCATATCACGTTCATTACTACTTACACGCGCTGTATACATACACATGCATACCCATGGACACGTACAATACATTCACACAATAATTTACATTCCACCAAGCATTCTCTCAAGCATGTCTGGAACATTGCTTGCACTCTACTTAGCGGAGCCATGTTGGGCACCGACCCCGAGGGCATCCGGGCACGAGGAGGGTAAGACGAGGCGGATCCAGGGCCACACACGAAGGAAATCAGGTGAAGGCCCGTACGCACGCACACGCTTATACGTACACATACGTACACATATACGCACACATACATATACACATACGCACACACACATACATACAAGCATACGCACACACACATACACATATGCGCACAACACACAAACACACATACATGCACACACATACATACACATACGCACACACACACACACACACAACACACACAACTTACAAATCAGCATAAACCAACAGCACCAGTAACCCCTAAATTAACACAAGCATATGCAAAACACCCCCCTTCCCCCCTACCCCAACACTCTATCCTACACCCCTTCCCCCTAACCCAACACTCCCAACCCCACACTCCCCTTCCCCCTTCCCCCACCTCAAACACTCCCTCCCTTCCCCCACCCCAACACTCCCCCCCCCTTCCCCAACACTCCCCCCTCCCCCCCCCCCACCCCCCCTTTCCCCCACCCACAACAACACTCCCCCCTTCCCCCAACACTCTATCCCCCCTTTCCCCCTTCCCAACACTGCTCACCCCTTCCCCACCCCAACACCCCCTTCCCTCCCTTCCCCCCTCACACTCCCCCTTTCCCCCCTTTCCCCAACACTCCCCCACCCCTCTATTAAGAAAAAAAAAAAACCTTAACTTTCGCTCAGTCAACACTGTTTTCAGCGCCTCAGACGCGTCCCCCGAAAAAGGCACTCAAGAAAAAAATAAATAAATAAAGGAAAGAAAACGGACGAGAGAGAGAAAAAAAAGAAAGAAAACGAAGAGAGAAAGAAAGAAAAGAAAACGGAAGAGAGAGAAGAAAAAAGGAAAGAAAACGGGAGAGAGAAAAAAAGGAAAGAAAACGGAAGAGAGAAGAGAAAAAAGGAAAGAAAAGGGAGAGAGAAAAAAGGAAAAGAGGAAGAGAGAGAGAGAAAAAAGGAAAGAAAACGGAAGAGAGAGAGAGAAAAAAAGGAAAGAAAACGGAAGAGAGAGAGAAAAAAGGAAAGAAAACGAAGAGAGAGAGAAAAAAAAGGAAGAAACGGAAGAGAGAGAGAAATGGAGAGAGAAAAAAAAGAAAAACGGAAGAGAGAAAAAAAGAAAAGAAAACGGGAGAGAGAAAAAAAAGAAAGAAAACGGAAGAGTGCGAGAAAAAAAAAAATGAAAGAAAACGGAAAGAAGGAAGAGAGAGAGAAAAGAAAAAAACGGAAGAGAGAGAGAGAAAAAAAAGAGGTGACGGAAGGCGGTGTCATTCCATTTTCCTCGGGCTTGGTGGCTCGGTGGGTGGGTGTGTTTGCCCGGTCAATAGAAAGGCAAGTTCGAGAGGGTGTGAGACGGGGTGCGAGATGGGGTGAGAGTGGGGTGATGGGAAAGAGGTGGAGGGGGTGAGAGTGGGGTGATGGGAAAGAGGTGGAGGGGGTGATGGGAAGAGAGGTGGAGGGGGTGAGAGGGAAGAGGTGAGGGGGTGAGAGTGGGACGAGGGGAAAGAGGTGGGGATGAGAGTGTGAGACGGGGTGATAGTGGGAGGGGGAGGAAGGGGAGGCGAGGGGAAAGTGGGGGAGTGAGAGTGGGGTGATGGGAAGAGGGTGAGAGTAAGAGTGGGAGGAGTGAGGGAGGTAAGAGAATGGAAATGAGAGGGGAAAAGAGGAGAGGGTAAAAAGGGATAGAGAGCGAGATGAAATGGGAAAGAGAGAAAGAGATGAGGAAAGGGGAGAGGAGAAAGGAGGAAAAGAGAAGAAAGAAAGAGGAGCGTGAGATAAGGGGGAGGGAAAGAGAAAATAGGAAGTGAAGAAGAGAGAAGGCATAAGGCTCGAGTGAAAGAAGAAGAAGGGGAGAGGGGAAAGACGAGAGAGAGAAACCAAAGGTACGATAAGGGGGATGGAATATGGGAAATAGGAGAAAAGCACGAGAGAGAGAGAGAGAGAGAGAGAAAGAGAGAGAAAGAGAGAGAGAGAGAGAAAGAGAAAGAGAGAGAGAGAAAGAGAGAGAGAGAGAGAGAAAGAGAGAGAGAGAGAGAGAGAGAGAGAGAGAGAGAGAGAAGACAGAAACAGAACAGAGAACACAGACAGAAAAATGTGGATAAAAATGTAATAAAAAGAAAATCAGACGTGGCGAGAATGAGCATACAACAGACGGAACAGGAAAAAAATAGGGAGACAATGAATAGTGTGAATAAGCGGGGGGGGGGGGTGCACTCACGTACAAGGACCACCCATATAAGGCGACCGGAAAGACGGCGCTGAGGACGCTGAGTTGAGAGGACTATAAAGGTAAATGGGAGTGGGAGTGGGAGTGGGAGTGGCGCCCATCTCTGCTGTGGACGGCGGGCACACGAGGACGGTGCTAGGGAGAGTGTGTGAGTGTGAGTGTGTGGGAGGGGGGAGGGAGAGAGAGAAAGAGAGGGAGAGTGTGAAGTGTGTGGTGAGTGAGTGAGTGTGTGTGTGTGTGTGTGAGTGTGTGTGAGTGTGTGTGTGGGGTGGTGTGAGTGTGGTGTATGGGAGAGAGGAGAGTGTGAGGTGAGACAGTGAGAGTGAGTGTGTGTCCGTGTATAGTGTATTGTGCTGATGCATGGCCCATAAGCAAGGCCTTAAAGTTTATATCTCAAGCTCCATCTTAATTCCATACCTTAAGATCAACACATTCCATTGACAGACTTTCAGGCAGACAGATAAATAGATATATTTCAAAACAGAACATAGGATGAAGTAAAACAACTTTTCCATTTTTCTTTTATTAACAAAAAAATACATCAATAATGTATCTATACAGACAAGACGTAGTTCGCAAAACTACATCATGGGATGAAATGTGTACGAAAAAGTACGAAAATAACAAGTATATCACTGAAAATTATATACCATACTAAATGCTATATCTCCATACGTCAAATATGACTTATGTTGCATATCACAGGTTTTCAATGAGTGAATGAAACTGAATATATAGCCATTAATATAATAATAAATAAACAAGCAAATCAATAAATAAATGCACCATATTCTATCACTAAATATAAAATAATAGATTCCTATTTACTTGTGTAAATAGGAATTAATGGTATTAACGGCCACAAAAATATAATGATAATGAAAGCCACAAATAAATAAATAAAATAAATAAATAAAAAAAATAAAAAACAATGGAAAAATAACAAAATTAGAAGAATCTAAGTGAACTGTAACCCTTTCACAGCATTTATGAGCATGTACACAACTTTGATGAACTTAGCTTACTTTCACACAACCTAAAATGTAAATTGTACACGTTATCAAACGTTATTAACCCACGTGACAAAAAGGAAACCTATTTGTCTATTTTTGACAACCTCTCGAGCACCAAAGCTTCTAAAACGGTCAGGTAGAAAGCTTAAGGCTGGGTCAAGAGTCAATCCCAAGTTTCGGGTCAGGAATATCGACTCACAGTCTCTCGTGCGACCTGAGGTAAGGGTCGATTTACTTTAACCAATCCTTTCTTTCATCGGACTTGACCAGGCAAGGTCACGTAAAGGTCATAAACGAGGGTATATGACATTGGCTTCAATAAAAACGTACAGTCGCCTAAATACCCTTATGCAAGAAACCAGGAAGGCAAGTTCAGAACAGGTCACCACAATACAGGGTTGTCTTTCCCCAGGATGCTGCCGTTCGCCCTATCACAGCACCAAAGAACAGCTGCTCCTTATCTCCACGTGACCCGCACGAGCAGAGGTAATCCAGCAGGCAAACTCCTGCTGATCCTCCAAGCCAAGTTCCTTCCCCTGCTTGCCTCCTGCCCTTCAGTAGTGGTCCGTGTCGCCCGACGGCTCCGCGCGAACTAGATGGGCTGGTACTCTTGGGACGAGCCTGCGCTGCCGTAGGTCGAGTCGACGTCGCCCTCCTGGCTGCCGAGCAGACGCCGCTTCTCCTCCTCCGCCTTGGAGAGCGAGCCGTTGACGCCGAGGGGCGGCGCGGGCGTCCTGCCGATGCCCGTGCACACGAAGAGCGCCGTGACGAGGGCGACCAGCGCGTGCAGCACCGCCACCACCACCGTCGCCCACTTGAACCCGATGTTGTCGAGCAGGACGCCCCCGATGGAGGGCCCGGCGAAGCACCCGAGGGCGAAGGTGGACGTCCAGATCCCGGAGACGAGGCCGTAGGTGCTGAGGTCGTCGGGGAAGCCGTGGGCGATGGCGTCGCGGTGGGCGCCGCTGAAGGTGGCCACCAGCTCCGCCCCGAAGCCGATGCCGTGGACGACGAGGGAGGCGATGCAGAGGGGAAGCGACGTGTCCAGGGGCAGGAAGGGCATCGGGCCGACGAAGGTGAAGGCCACCACGACGACGACGGCTCCGAAGGCGGTCACGCCCCGCGGAGACAGCTTCTTGTCGCAGAGCCAGCCCCAGCACGGCGCCGAGAGGGCGTACGTGGCGCCGTTGAGCACGAACATGAGCCCCATCTGCAGGGGCGACAGCTTCAGCGGCCGCAGGTGGGGCTCCAGCGTGGCCTGCAGGAAGCCGATGCTGAAGGAGGCGGCCATGATGGCGAAGGCGGCCAGCATGATGCTGGGGAGGCGCAGCGCGGCCAGCAGCTGTCCGCCGCTGCTCCCGGAGTCGCCGCTGCCCTCCGAGTCCTCCTTCGGCAGGAGGCAGCAAGTGACGACGGCGGCGCAGAGCAGCACGCAGCCGCACACGACGAAGGGCAAGTAGTAGCCGCCGACCTCGTAGAGCGCCCCGCCCACCGTCGGGCCCGCGATGAGCCCGAGGCCGAAGAACGTCTCCATGGTCGCGAACGCCGACCCGACGTTCTTGGGGAACTCCTTGGCGATGATGCTGAAGGCGGAGGTGACGAAGGCGGCATTGCCACACGCCTCCACGATCCTGATGGCGAAGGAGAGGCCGATGAAGGTGCTGGTGTCCTCGACCCGATCCAGCAGGCCGAAGAGGATGCACATGATGGACACCGTGAGGATGCCGGCGTTGTTGATCAGCTTGGCGCCCCAGCGGTTGAGGAACTTGCCGTAGATGGGGCTCACCAGGAACACCGTCAGCTCGAAGATGCCGAAGACCAGGCCGTACTGCGTGGCCGTGGCGCCCTTTCGCTCAGCCTCCGCCGGGTAGAAGGGCGCCTGCAGGGACACGCACACCGCGTTGAAGAACTGGGCGACGCTGAAGGTCACGAGGGTGACCCACTGCCTCCTCGAGTAGCCGGACATCTTGCGGGGACGAGGCAGACGACAGACAGACAAATCTCCTACTCAAAGCTAGCACCGAAGCTATCACAAACTTTCTCAACCCTCTTTCGTCCACGGGAGAAGAGAAACGAAACAGATAACCCGGATAAGGGTTATAAATGACGGGCCACGGGAAGATGTCTCTCACGATCACGAGTGCCTCTCAGGTAACTTGTAAAGCTGAGGTAGACGGGAGCGAGAAGAGCGTGCGCGTGCCCTCCTCCGTGGCAGCTGCTTGACTGGCGAGGCGATGGTCAGCGGCGGTCGCCATCCTCACATATAAGTCCGCACGACCTGCCAGAGGAAGGACGAGTCCACACTTTTCTCCCTCGTCGCAAATCAGCTGTTTTTGTCCCATTTGACGTCGCAAGATAAACACACCGCGCTTGCTTGTTTACTCGCTCTACATACGCGATTCCGATTCTGCGATGCACGTATTACACATTTCCAAACGAACTGCACCTCAACGCACACAAACAAACCGACGAGAGGCAAGCACAAGCACACGCTTCGCAACTCGACCCCCCCCATACCCCCTGCGTGCCCTGAGGACAAATGGCGGTCAAGCAGGCCAGGCGACCTGACAACAGCTCAAGCAGATGGTAACACTTCCACCTAATTCGCGATAAGCCAGCACCCGCGCACGCTTGTTCCCCGAACATTCCTACGCCCACGAACGAGCAGTTACAACGACCAGCTGCGCCTAACGACCGGCGAAATACTCCAACTTCCGAACGAGCCATTTCTCTTCTGAACCTGTGAAACGACCGTTCTGGGACTCGAAGGAAACTTCAAATACGAAAATCAACAGAAACAATAAATTAAACAAAACAACCACCGCAAGGTATGTTGACCTGTTACGCCTATAAATTTACGAATGTACTATTGAAAACGTTATTTCCAATCAGGATTTAACAATTAATAGCTCGCTACTGTGAGAAATATTTAAAATGTCTTTCAAGATATTCTTAATAGAAATCAAAATGGCTTTATGTGGCATTCAGGTATAATTCACTGTGCAAAGGTTGTTCGCATAATATTTTTTAAATATAGCTTTCAAATTACATAACTGAGTTAAAGGGATCCATAGAACCTTGTTATTTGAAATGTCAAATAATATAACCAAACATCCTCCCTCTCCCCTCCCCTTCCCTCCTCTCCTCCTTCTCACTCTCTCTTCCCTTCCTCCTTCCCTCTCTCTCCTTCTCTCCTTCCTCTCTCCTCTCCCCCTCTCCCTCCCCTTCCCCCTCTCTCTCTTCCTTCCACCTCCCTCACCTCTCTCTTCCTCCTCCTTCCCTCTCCTCTCTCTCCTTCCACCTCTCTTCCTTCCCCCTTCCCTTCCCTCTCCTTCCTCTCCTTCTCCCCTTCGCCTCCCTCTCTCCTTCCACTCACATATAAGCATATTCATTCATTCTTTGCTCCAGTCATTCATTTACACATTCGTTATTTTTTTTTTAGTTACATGCGCACACGCCGCTTTACACACGCAACACACAATCACACACACACACACACACACATACAACACACACACACACACACACACAACACACTCATCATTCATCATTCATTCATTCAGCTATCGAATCGTCTACATAACTCATATAACAAATGATATAAAATACATAATATACACCATATATTATAATATATACATACATATACTCATGACCATCCTCCTATACAACATATACTCACTCAAACTTCTTCCCAGACTCAGCCACCTTCCCCCCCCTCCCTCTCCATCAGACTCATTCACCTCACTCCCTTTCCTTCTCCTTTTCTTTCCTTTCCTCTCCTTTTGTTTCCCTTCCCTTCCTTTCCCTTTCCTTCCCTTCCTTCCCTTCCTTTTCCCCTTCTCTCCCTCCCCTCCCATATCATTACCATCCCCTTCTCGCTGACTCATTCCCCTCGCTCTCCCTTCCTCATTCATCTTCCCCCTTCCCTCTATTGACTCATTTATCTCCTCCCCTCCTTTACTTCCCATAGACTCATCCATACCCCCGCTCCTCCTCCCTGGACAGACTTACTCATCTCCCCCCCACACTCATCCATTCACCTCCCCCCCTCACTCCGTTCCACCAAAATGTCATTTCACTCACTCACTCCCTCTTCCCACAATATTATTCATTCTCCATCGCCCTCCCCTTCTCATCCATCTTCCCCCACCCTCATCCACCTGCCTCCCTCCCCACCGTCATCCATTGCTGCCCCTCTCCAAACATCATCCATGTCCTTCCCCTTCTCAACACTGCCCTCCCCCCACCCTCATCCATCTGCTCCCCCCCCCGAACGCCCCACACGAATTACATAAAGGCAACATCGTCACTACCTCCCACCCCCTTCCCCATCCCCCTACTTCCCCTCCCCTTCCTGATATTCTCTTTACGTCATCTCTCGTGGCTCTCTCTTGGTCTTCCCTGTTTCTCTTCTCCTGTCCTTGTCTATTCTCTTTTTCTCTCGGCAACTCGCTCTTTTCCTCACTTCTGCTCCTACTATTTATCTCTGTAGCTGTACATCTCTCTATCTATCTTTATCTTTTTCTATGTCTATGTCTATCGGTCTACCTAATTATCCATCTGTCTATTCATCTACTATGCAAACACATATATAAGCTCACCTCACATCCACACGTGCGTGTGTGCGTGTCGTTGCGTGTGGTGGGTGTGGTGTGTGTGTGCGTGTCGTGTGTGTGTGTGTGTGTGTGTGTGTGTGTGTGTGTGTGTGTCGTGTGCGTGTGCGTGTGCGTGTGCGTGTGCGTGTGCGTGTTCGTGTGTGTGTTGCGTGTGCGTGTACGTTGCGTGTACGTGCGTGTGCGTGTGCGTGTGCTTATGGGTGTGTGTGTGTCTTCGTGTACAAACATTAGATTCTCGTTCTTATGTAAATCTCAAGAGTCACAACCCCTTTTCAAAGGTAACAACTATCGCCATGTAATTCCTATATTAAGCCTAATCAAAATCCCATGAAACACATTCTTCCCTCCTCCCTCTCTCTCTTCTTCGTTTCTTCTTTTCTTCCATCCTTCTTTCCTTTCTCCTTCCCTCCTGTCTTTCTTTCTTTTTTCTTCTTCCTCCCTCCCCCAACTCCTTCCCTCCCTGCCCCCTCCTCCCTCCTTGCCCCTCTCCCCTCCTTCCTTCCATCCCTCTACCCCCTCCCGCCTCCCCCTCCTCCCACTCCCCCACTCCCTCCCCTCCTTCTTCCTTCCTCCCTCCTTCCCTTCTTCCCTTGCCCTCGCTCCCTCCTTCCCTCCCTCCCCCCCCCCCTTTCCACGTGAGACAGGAGGACGTCGCAAACAGGAGCTTATCTGCTTATTTGCACATCATTCGAGTCATGTCATTTGGGGTCCCGTCGCATGTGTTGATAAGTAAGGGTTGTCCTCATTTCTGGTGTTTGGCTTGACGTCTCTCTCTCTCTCCCTTCTCTTCTTTCTCTTCTTCTCTCCCTTTCGCCTGTCTGTTCTGTCTCTGTCTCTCTCTTCTCTCTTTTTTACATTTCTCCCTGTCTGTCTCTGTCTGTGTGTCTGTCTCTCTCTCACTCTCTCTCTCTCTCTCTCTATATATATATATAATATATAATATATATATATATATATATATATATATAAATATATAATATATCGATCTCCCTCTATTTCTCCCTGCTCTATCTCTCTCTCTCTCTCTCTCTCTCTCTGCTCTCTCTATATATATATATATATATATATATATATATAAATATATATATATATATATATATATATCGATCTCCCTCTCTCTCCTCTTTCTCCCCCCCCTCTTTCTCTGTCTGTCTGTCTGTATGTGCATGTCTGTCTGTTCTCACTCCTTTCCTCTCTCTCCCTTTCTCTCCTATCTTCCTCCTTTCCCCTCTCCTTTTCTCACATTATTCAATTCACTCACAAACGTTCACGCTCACACTATTCCCTTCTTTCACTTCCTCTTCTAATTATCGCTACCTTTTTGCAGTTTGTTTCGTTTCAAGATACACAAAAACGCAAACACGCATACGAACACACAACAGATAATTACTCACGCACATAGACACACGCTATACACATACACAGACGCACAGGTACACAATTGCTTAATCATTCACTTATTCGTTCACTTACTGACACGTACGCATACGCAGACACAGTCTCTCTCTCTCTCTCTCTCTCTCACACACACACACACACACAAACACACAAACACACACAAACACACACACACACACACACACACACACACACACACATACACACACACACACACACACACACACACCACACACACACACTCTCTCTCTCTCTCTCTCTCTCTCACACACACACACACACACACACACACACACACACACACACACCACACACACACACACACACACACACACACACGCACGCACACACACGCACGCACACAACACCACACAACACACACACACACACACACACACACAACACACACACACACACACACACGCACGCAATGTCCAGCTTCCCTTCGTCCTTTGGCAGTGACCTTGAAACGACCCAAAAAGGTCAACATTCCGCCACCTTGTTTTTATTCTGCTTTTATCCTTTTATTTATTTATTCTTCGTCTTCTCTGCTATGCTCTCATTCTTTCTATTTTTATTTTATATTATTTTTTTTTGTTAATTGTATTTCGTTTTTCTCCTTTTCTTTTCTTAATCTTCATCTACTCTTCGTTTTCTTTTTTTCGTTGTTGTTCTTTTTTCCTCTTATTTTTTCTCCTTTTCCTTCCTCTTCCTTAAATTTATTTTCCTTTCCTATTTCTTTTCATTTCTATCTTTCTTTTCGACATATTCTTTTACTTCTCCTATTCTCCCCGATTCATTTATTCATCGCACTCACACACCCACACCACCTACCTTCACATATCCAAGACACACCACTCCCCACCCACCCACTCCCATCCAAACCCCACTCCCTTCACCCTACCCACCCACCACATCCAACCCTCCCTTCACCCACCCACCCATCAACCACTCCCCCCACCCTTTCCCCTCTCACTCCCACAACCCACCCGCCACCTCCAAACCCCACTCCCTTCACCCACCCCCACTCCCTTCACCCCACCCTCTCCCTCTCCCACTCCCCACCCCACCACATCAAAACAAGGCGATATCAGCGACCGCCCCGCGACCCTGCGACCACCGCCCCCCCCCACTCCCCCCACCCCCTCCACCCCGCTCACCCACGTCAATCGAATGATAACCAAAGTAATAAACATAAGTACAGGCGACCGTCCCCTCCAAGTGCACAGTACAGCGCTTACGTGTACAAAAAAGAAAAAAAAAAAAAGAAAAAAAAAAGAAAGAAAGAAAAAAAACCCACGTGCTAATTTGCATGTTGCTTCAGTAAATTATGTTTTGGTACTTTGCGCCTTATCATATTTTTTTTCTTCTATTATCTGTCTTATCTTCTTCCTCTTCTACTGCGCGTTTCTTCTTCCATTCCTTCTTCTGCTTCTTCTTTTTTTTAGATTCTTTTTCTTCTCCTTAACCGCTTAATATAGGTTGGG